TTTGGATTTTTTAGAATAGGGTGTGCAGAATAGGGGTTAGCTCTTCTTTAAATGCTTGTAGAATTCTCCTGTGAAACCATCTGGTCCAGGGCTTTTGTGTGATGGGAGTTTTTTTATTACTGCTTCAATTTCATCTGCTGTTATTGGTCTGTTCAGGTTTTCTGCTTCTTTTTCATTGAGTTTTAGAAGATTATATTTTTCTAGAAATGTGTCCATTTCTGCTAGGTTTTCAAATTTCTTGGCATACAGTTCTTCATAGTAACTTCTTACAATCCCTTCTATTTATGTTGTATCAGTTGTAATCTCTCCTCTTTCATTTCTGATTGTGTTTATTTGTGTCCTCTCTCTTCTTTTCTTGATGAGCCTACTTAATGGCTTGTCGATTTTGTTTATCTTTTCTAAAAACCAGCTCCTGGATTCATTGATTTTTAGAATTGTGCTTTTAGTCTTTATGTCATTTAATTCTGCTCTGATCTTGGTTATTTCCTTCCTTCTACTGGCTCTGGGCTGTCTTTGTTGTTGTTTCTCCAGTTCTTGTAGGCGCAGGGTTAGGTTGTTTGTTTGAAATGTTTCTATCTTTTTTTAGACAGGCCTGTATTGCTATGAACTTATCTCTCAGGACTGCCTTCACAGTGTCCCATAAGTTCTGGGTTGTTGTGAGTTAGTTTTCATTTGTTTCAAGAAACTTTTTGGTTCCTTTCCTAATTTCATTCTTGACCCATTTGTTGTTTCATAGCATGCCATTGAGTCTCCATGATTTTGGGTGTTTTGGGTTTTTTCCTTTGGGGTTGGTTTCCAATTTCAGTTTCTTGTGGTCAGAGAAAATGCTTGGTATGATTTCAATTTTGTTGAATTTGTTGAGGCTTGTTTTATGTCCTATCATGTGGTCTATCTTTGGAAATGTTCCATGTGCATTTGAAAAGAATGTGTATTTGGCTTCTTTGTGATGAAGGCCTGTGTATATGTCCATTAAGTCCATTTCTTCTAGGGTGTTGTTTAATGCCACAATATCTTTGTTGATATTTTGTTTGGAAGATCTGTCCATTTTTGACAGTGGGGTGTTAAAGCCCCCTACTATAATTGTGTTGCTGTGAGTATCTTTCTTGAAGTCCTCTAAGATTTTCTTTACATATTTGGGTGGTCCTATGTTGGGTGCATATATATTTACAATGTTAATGTCTTCTTGGTGGATTCTTCCCTTGAGTATTATGAAGTGACCTTCTGGGTCTGTCTTTATGGCCCTTTTTTTTTGAAGTCTATTTTGTCTGATATGAGAATTGCTACCCCAGATTTTTTTTTTCTTGTCCGTTTGCTTGGAAAATTTGTTTCCAGCCCTTCACCTTTAGTCTGTGATGTTCTTTTGTCCTGAGGTGGGTCTCTTGTAAGCAGCATACGTGTGGGTCATACTTTCTCATCCATTCAGCTATTCTATGTCTTTTGATTGGAGCATTCAGTCCATTAACATTTAAGGTTATTATTGATAAGAACTTATTCATTGCCATTTTTGTACCTGTGTTCCTCTCTGTCTGTCTCTTTTCCTTCCTTTCCTTAAAGCAGTCCTTTTAGTATTTCTTGTAGAGCTGGTTTGGTGGAGGTGTATTCTTTTAAACTTCTTTTGTCTTGGAAGCTCTTTATTTGGCCTTCTATCTTGATTGAGAGCCTTGCTGGGTAAAGTAGCCTTGGTTGTAGTCCTCTGGCTCTCATTACTTGGAATATTCCTTGCCATTCTCTTCTTGCTTGGAGTGTTTCCATTGAGAAGTCAGTTGCTAACCTTTTTGGGGCTCCCTTATAGGTTACTTCCTTTTTCTCCATTGCTGCCTTTAAGATTCTCTCTTTGTCTTGTAATTTTGCCATTTCAATGATGATGTGTTTTGAAGTAGGCCTGTTTGGGTTCCTCTTTATTGAGACTCGCTGTGATTCCTGGATTTGTGTGACTTTTTCTCTCATCAAATTAGGGAAAGTTTCCATCATTACTTCATTACTCTTTCAAATAGGTTTTCTATCCCTTGTTCTTCTTCTTCTTCTTCTGGTATTCCTATTATTTGGATATTAATACGTTTCATATTGTCTTGCATTATTCTTAATCCCTCTTCATTCTTTCTGAGCCTCTTTTCCTTTTCTTGCTCTTCCTGGGAGTTTTTTTTTCTGCTTTGTCCTCCAACTCGCTGATCCGATCTTCTGCTTCATTGATCCTGCTTTTGATACCTTCCACTGTGTTCTTCAGTTCAGTAATTGTACTCTTCATTTCCTCTTGGCCTTTGCTGATAGTTTCTATTTCCTTTTTCATGTCGATATAGTTTGTGGAGAGTTCATCATAGGTCCCCCTGTAGTTTCTGGTAGCTTATTGTGAGCTCTTTGAATTTCCTGATAACCAGTGCTTTGAATTCAATATCTGATAGCTGACTTGCCTCTATTTCATCCAACATTCTTTCTGAGGCTTCCTCCTTTTCTTTCATTTGGGGACTGTTTCTTTGTCTTCCCATTATTTATGAGACTCTTCTTGTTTGCCTCAGCTTCTTAAATTGATCTGTTCTGACTCCCTGGGTTTATGGCGTGAACTTCTGTGGTAGAATACCTGTGAAATTCAGTGGTGCAGTCTCCTTCAGGTATCTTGATGTTCTCGGCTTCCACCTACTCCCTTTTTTTCGGTGTGTGTATGTGATCAGTTGGAGGGGGAGGCAAAATGGTTTATGACAGCAGAAGAGTGTTTTATGATATTTACAGTTACAGCCAGTAGAGAAGAGATAGAAGATCTTTAGGCTATATATAGTGTTAACCGTAATCTTCACCCAACTTGCCACTTTTAAGAAAGAATGGACATAAGATAAGTCTCTTGTTGAGGAGGGAAGGCTTGTGAGTTGTATCTAGAAAGCAGTGAGGTTGCAGGGCAGTCAGATTTTGAGGTAAGGTGAGAGTAAAGAATAGTAAATAGGTGTAGTGTGTGAGCAAATAGAGTTAATCACTACAGTAATAGAATTCAGGAACCTGTCAAGTGGGCTAAGATCCGGGAGATGGGTTGTGAAGTATTTACAGTTGTATAGAACAGCTATTATTTATAATAATATTAGAGCAAGAATCATATGACAGACTCTATGTGAGCTGTCTGAACAGGGGGGTTATATACAGATGGCAAAAAAAACATGAAAAGTTTCTTAAAATCATTAATTTTAATGACTATACAGATGACAAAATTTTAACGACAAAATTTTAATTTACAGATGATTATAATTTGACAAATAAAAATCAAAACCATAATGAGATACCACTTCAAACTATTAGGCTCTATTTTTTTTTAAAAAAATTATACAATAACAACTGTTGGTGAGGATGTGGATGTGGTTAAATTGGAATTTTTGAAAACTGCTGATGGAAATGTAAAGTGATGCAGCCACTTTGAAGAACTGTTCCTCAAAATGTTAAACATAGTATTACCACATGATCTAGCAATTTCACTCTTAAGAAATGAAAACCCAAAGAAATGAAAACATATGTCTACCCAAAAACTTCTAGATGAATGTTCATAGCAGTATTACTCACAATAGACAAAATGTGGAAACAACTCAAATGGCCATCAAGTGATAAACAAACTGGGGCCTATCCATACATTGGATTATTATTCAGCCTTAAAAAGGAATAAGGTACTGATATCAAATCCGTACACACAGAGCAGATTAATGGTTGCCATGGACTGGGGGAGGGGCCATGGAGAGTCACTGCTAATGAGTTTGCATTTCTCTTTGGAGTGATGAGAATTAGATTGTTGTGATGGTTGCACAACCCTGTGGATGTACTAAAGTCACTGAATTGTATACTTTAAATGGATGAGTTTTGTTGTATGTAAATTTATCTCACAAAGCCATTTAAAAGAATGAGAAGGAACCAACCTCTAGGTGCCTTGGTTATTTTTTAAGGAACTGGTCCCATCTTCTCATTTTCTCAGCTGATTCCCATTTCCATACCTCATTCCATGATCACTTTGTAGCCTTAGATCCTGGCACTTGTAAGCAGCCTAAGCTAACTTGAGCTTTAACAAGGACTGACTGGGCCTGATCACAATTAATAGAGCATAAGAGACCTTGGATCTCTGTTCTCCTCACCCTTCAAAGCACTCAGATTGTGTTGGATATGCTCTATTTTCTATTGTTTAAAACACGTCTGATATGTATGATGTTCCTTTTTTCAGATTATTTTATTCTTTTTGATTTCTTATACAGGCTGAGATGTATGTCAGGAAGATAATAGTACTCTAGTATGGTACTCTAGCCTTACGGTGAGATTTATTCAGTCTTTTAAGCTACAAAGGCAGGCCCCAGGCCCCAGGCCCAAGCTCCTAAATTCATATTCTTCCCACTGTCTCTTTTGAGTGGTTCATTCTAATCTCTGATAAAGGCAGCTTTGAGTATTTGGGGCAGTATTAATTCTACCTATTGGGTTACTTGGGACACATATCAGGTTCACTTTCCTATACTAATTACCTATCAAACTACAACACGCTGAATGCCTAAGGATGTGAGGACCTGAGTTTAATTAATAAGTTCCGATCAATTTCTGCTTTTTGTCCTCCACCACTTTAGCTCTAAAGCTCATGAAGCAAGGAACACAATGGCATATCTATCTTCTTGAAGGGAAAGAGATCAATACCTGTTTCAGTCCATATTTAACATCCCAAACATCCTTGAAACAGTTCCTAGTTACAAAGTACTTAGAACAGTTCCTGGTATTTAATTACATTAAAATTTTAGGTGTGTTCTCATGAATGGGTGAGCAAGGGCAAGCCTGGGGTTGTATATTTTCTGCCCTTCCTCTAGAAATCTTTTAGATTTTTTAGAAGATTGCCATCCTGGTTAACTGTTGCCATCCTAGAAATCTAGATGATTTCTAGAGTAAACATCTTCAGTTCCTTCTAATAGGAAGTATAGCCCTCTTCAGGTGCTGTGATTTAGAGCTGATTGAGAATTCCTTAGTCCAGTCACAAGACAGATTCCTGTTTTCTGTTTCAGATTTGTAAATGCTTTCGGTGAGAGCTTCAATGCCACAGTGGATGGGAAAGTATATGAACATGTCACCAGCCACAATGCCAGCATATATCAGTTTTTTTCTTCTGGCATGTAAGTACCTATACTAGACAGTTTGTTCCAAAGTTCAAGGACATCAAGTCATTTTTTAAACACTATATTGAAGCTTTAAAATTTTTTTATTGTTATTCTATTACAGTTGTCTGAATTTTTCCCCCTTTGTCCTCCTCTGCCCAGCTCATTCCCTTGCTCCCACAGTCACTCCTCACACTGTTGTCCATGTCCATGGGTCATTTATACATGTTCTTTGACTATTCCCTTCCTTTTCTGTCCACCATTATCCCCCTCTACCCTCGCCTCTGGACACTCTTCATCTGTTCCATGTTTTCATGTCTCTGAATATATTGAAGCTTTTAATACCTAGAATGTTAACCTATATTATTCTTTCTTTCCATAGAAAAAACATCACACTAAGCTTCTCAGGGATTCCAAGTAACTGCAGCAATACTTTTACAACCAACCTTGGTTTTGGTAGTGCATATACCTATGTAATCATCAAGAAGGTTAGTAACCTGTTCAATCAAATCAGAAGTGCTTCTCAAACTTTCTTCACCTGAGTCCTCACAAACACCTAGGACATGGTCATGATATAAATTATTATTAGGATCTGTATTTTAAATGGTTTTAGAACAGGGGTATCAAATTCATTTTCACTGGGGGCCACATCAGCCTCATGGTTGCCTTCAAAGGGCCGAGTGTAATTTTAACTCCTTAACAGTTAAGTAGTAGTTACCTTTATACAATCCTAAAACTATTTTGGCCCTTTGAAAGCAACCACGAGGCTGACGTGACCCCCAGTGAAAATGAGTTTGACACCCCTGCCTTAGAATTAATTAAGTTTACCACCAAGTCTTTACTTAACATTGACTGAAGTTCACAATTAGAATAAAACTGAACTCACTAACAGTTCACATTGACCAGTATTTCATACTTTTAGTTCACAGAGATGGCAATGTTTTGAACAAAACTGACTGCCAATCTACTCCCTTATTTAAGGGGAAAACGCTAGTGAACATATTTTCAAATTCCATCATGGCTATCTCATCACAAGTATAAAACACAATGTTGTGTATTTACATTGAAAATGTGTACTTGATAAATCATATGACATAACCCTAGAATCAAAACTCAGCTTGCTAGTTAGAACAATTTTTACTTTAGAAGCAATTTTGATTTTAATTTATTTTTCTCACTTTTGTTTTATTGATTTAGGGTGATGGCTGCCCTGAACTGAAAGAATTTGAAGATATTTCACCCAATTCAGTTAGCATGGCCCTGCAAATCCCACAGTATTTCCTCATCACTTGTGGGGAGGTGGTTTTCTCTGTCACAGGATTGGAGTTCTCATATTCTCAGGTTTCTTCTTCATTGGTTTTATGACCCTTCCTCTAAACCTCAGCCTTCAAAATGCTGCAGGGCCTTCATTTAAATCTGGGTTAGCCATATATTTATAATGTAAAATAATTCTAGAAAACATTATGGTATATTCAACCAAACAATGTTTTTGAGGTCACCATGCCTTGTCTTTATATTGACTATGAATATTACTGTTTAATTTCATGAGTGCATATATTACACATGTCTACATTCCCACAGTCATACACAGAGGTTTATACTCCTAGTAGGAAAAGTTGTATTAACAATGGTTACAAAGGTCATGATAGTCAGGTACGTCTGTATTCTGAAGCAACCAAATGGTTTCAACAATTCATAACAGTGTTCATTTCCAGGTTTGTGTTCTCATTATCTTTAAGGTCCATTTGAGGTCTCTCTATAGCTCCTAATAAACATACTGACTAAGGCCTAGATTTTAAACATTAAAAAGCTATTACTTTATGTATATATACTATGAGGCAAATCTTGCTGATACCTTTTGTAGAGTTTAATTTGTGAATGATTTTATCAAAGCTACAGTTATAGTAATTATATCCCCATAATATCTAGTACCTTCAAATTTTCACTAAAAATTGTAAATATGAACTGGATAAACCCTTTCTGTGGTCACCTCAGTCTAATAAAGGAGATGATATAACACAGATAACAAGAGTTTGAAGAGAGGTTTTGGTGATGTGGTAAGGGAAGCTCACAGAAGAGCAAACTTGCAGCCTCCAGACAGCAGCCTCCATGGGGTGGTGGGGGGTGTCACACTGGATATCTTTACTTGGAAACTCTTCTGCAGAAATAGAATCAGTTCATTTGTAGAGTTGTCTGTTTAACTAGGATGGAAACTTTGCAAGTGTGTGGAGAGGGGAAAACAAGGGCTTCTTGCATGTTTGTACAACTTGAAAATTTAGAGTATCTTGCTACCAAAGCAATTATCTCTTTTACATTCAAGTCAGCTTGACTTTTAATGCGCATTTTTAGCATGAGAGCTTAATTAAATGAATTGGTGAGTTGTATTCTCCTGCTGAGGTTGAGATCTGGATTGGGATTCTCTTTGCTTTGCTTCCTCAGGCTCCTTCCAACATGAAGTCAGTTCTTCAAGCAGGATGGCTGTTGACAGTGGCAGTTGGCAACATCATTGTGCTGATTGTGGCAGGAGCAGGCCAGTTCAGTGAACAGGTATGAGGTAGAAAAGGAGATGTACCTTTGTCTTATCTATCAGTGGTCATTATGATGTTCCTCCCTAGCCATCTATATATACATGGTCATCTCAGCTACTGGCTGAATAAAACTGCCAGACTGCCCAAATAGGGTGGTTACCAAGTGGTCTTATGGCCGAGCATGTACTGATTCTTCTTATTTCCACTGGGAGTTATGCAGTTGAAAAGTGACAACCAAAATAACCAGATTGGATTAACATACATATACCCTAATGTCATTTACTAGCAAAGAAAAGATCTTTCCTAGCTTCAATGAATGTAAATTAATAGTCCCTAACTAGAAATGTTATCCAGAAGCTGTCATAGCTACTAAAGTTAAAGCCATTCTAAAGATTGTTGTGATTTTTCCAGCTAAAATAAAGTAAGTGCTTTTTATGATGCTTAAATTCTCTCCTTCAGCATATCAGCATATCTACCCCATAAGGGAGTTATCCCGTACTCCACCCCATCAGTTTCATTACATCTTCTACTGGGTCCCCTCAGAGCATGCTTATGACCTCAAGGTACTGCCAAAGGATAACAGGGGCTCTTAACTTCAAACAGTTCAGCATATTCTTTTTCTTTCAAGTACCTGGCGTTCTCTTGGTCTCCATCCTTTTAGGGGCTGACTATGTACCTTAAGACTTGAGTTTCTTAGAAATTTTGTGTTGTCTTCCCAGAGTTTCATGTTTCTACATTCCAGTGTTGTTAGAAAAATGTTAGAATCCTTGAGCATTCACAAAATGCTGGACCTTCTGTATCAGTGGTGATAACTGACCATGCTATATCTATAGCAGAAGCCTGCCAATTTCCCCTAACAATTTAATTTCAAAACATCTTCCATCTGGACATAGCAAGAAAATATACATGTGCTATATACACTACTATAACTGATATTGTTTTTGTTTTTTTCCTGCTCCATCTCCAATTCTTTCAAAGTGGGCCGAGTACATTCTGTTTGCTTCATTGCTTCTGGTTGTCTGCATAATCTTTGCCATCATGACTCGATTCTACACTTACATCAATCCAGCAGAGATTGAAGCTCAGTTTGATGAGGATGAAAAGAAAAAGAAGCCAGAAAACCTATATAGCACATTGGATCCCATCTCACAGACACAGATGTGAATGTCAGGAAGCCAGTGCAGGATGGATTGGGCCAAGAACATGCTCTGACTTCTGTCCCAAGGTGGCAGGACACTGTTGGATGGCCCCTGATGGGGAAGACTTCAGAATTATGAACCAAACCAAGAAAAGAATTTTTGAAGCAGCCATCAGTGAACCTAAAACTCTGGAAGAAGTCTTTTAGAAAAAAGTCTTTAATGTATGCATGCACACACACACACACACTTTTATGCACTGAAAGCCTATCCTGCATTTAACTCCTTTCCTATTGCACGAATAAAGTTATTTTGAACTAACTTAATTTTTTGAAAGGATAACAAAAGTTCCATATTGTTTGCATTCTAACACTGTATGAAAACAATCTTAAGCAAGGCCAAAGACAATGTGAAAGTGAATTTATATGTTTAAGGATGGTGTATAATAAGCTAGTATTAACTGATACCTTTACCTTTTTTTTTCCAGTCCCTACCCCTTTTTAAATGATGTGTAACTCAAAAGGTCACTCAGGTAGAAGCCAGTAATGATTTTTGGAGTCTCAATGATAAGAAATAAGTTCCCACTCAAAAGAATAAGTTTCTCTGTGTCTTTGGGTAAGGCAAGAAATTCTTAATGTGTTTTCTGATTATTAAAGCGTTGCCCACATTAAAATTTCATCAGAAATTGATAAAAGCATGAACAAAAGAAATGCCCACATATAATAAATTCCAGGAACATGAAATATAGAGGTTTGTGTCGTCCTGGTTTTATTCTCCCCAGGGATAGATATACTTCTCTTTTATTACTTGGATCTTTCTATGTGCATGTTTATGTACCATCTCAAAGTTTTTTTCTCAATACTCATTAGCATATACTCATTAGCATTTTCTGCTTGAATAAAAATTCTTCCAAAACTTAATGCCTAATTTAGTCTATAGGTACTTATCATTTAACCATTCCCAGGTTTCACAGCCAAAACAAATCAATGTTGGTATTTAAAAAGAAGTAACTGTTCTTAGATAAACTTGTGCACAACTCTGAATGTGGGAACTGGTCCCTTGGTTCGAAAGGAGGGCCCATGTTAGACAAGCTTCATGCACAAACTTGTCATTGAACTGTGGAAACAGAATGAAGCTGGTGAGGGAAGTAGGAGACTCAAAATCCAAAGCAAGAAACACACATGTGATCACACCTTGCTGAAGACCTTTTCCACCATTAGGATCAAGTGCTCATTCTTTAACCTGGGCCCATGAGCCTCCTTTTTCTCTGGATATATCTCCTTTCTCTCTGCTCACTCCAATCTAACCAACATTGAGTTTCTTCTAGTTCCTGGAATGCATCAACTTCTTACTTCCAAGTCAAAGGCTAAAGAAAAACCAGGTCCTGAGACACTTATTTTATACCTACTGATCACCCTTCCCCTTCACCTGGCTCAGTTTTCATTTGCAGGATTCAGCCTAGTTCCTCCAAAAGCTTTCCTGTCGCCATTCCCCTGCTTTAGGCTGTGTCTTCTTTGAGGTCTCTGCCATCACACACCCTCAGTGTACTATAACTATGTAGTTTTCCCTGGGCTGAAGCTTTCTACATGTACCCTGTTCTGTGTTCATTCTCTGTGAACGTAGGCCTCTACATGTTAAATAAAATTTTTAAACCTTTTGGGCTATGAGGAGTGAGATGGAAGAAGAGAACTAAACATTCAGTAATGATTTGAATGGGACTAATTAATGAACACTAATGTGACAGAGTAGCTATAAGGGATACCTAATTTTGCTTCTCTGATCATTTCTACCTTCTAATTTCTATCTTTTGCCTTTGATGGGTAAATTAATACTTACAGTAATGAGCACTCAGTTTTCATTACTTCTCTTGTCAATAATCTAAAGAAAACTAATCTTAAATCTACAAATGATATTCTAATTCTAATTCCTCTTATAGCCTCAGGGAGCTTTGAACCACTCTGGATCTTTTAGATCTCATTTCCTTCTCCTTTAAAACAAAGAGAACACTGGTTGATCTGAGGCCTTAAAACTTCTTTGTTCAAGAGTGTCTGGCACACAGTAGGCTTCCAAATATTTGAATGAAGCCCTGTCCCTCTATGAACTCTGATGTTAACACTATAGATAGCTTTTGTGTATGGATGGAAATGACTCTTACATCATCTTCATTGGCCTTTAAACAATATGATGAAGCATGGAGGGGAACGGGGGCACTTGGCTCATCAGGGTTGAGTTTTCAGAGTAATCTTCTAAATGTAATCAAAACTGATGGGTGTTCTGGATGTGAGACATTAGAGAATAACAAACATCATGGGATATGGGTTTAGGGATGGTGTACACATGAGGCTAGATCAATAACTTCTGGCCTTCCACCCTTTCCTCAGCTCCCATTTTTTGTGTGTGTGCCTGATGCCCTTCTCTATGTTCTGAGCTGATCAGTGTATAATCAAAATACTGCACTTGAAAAATCAACTGACTCTTAAAGTATGATTCAACATGGGTTGGAGAGCATGGAAATACTTTCAATTGAAAATAGTAGGGGACTTCCGCCAAGATGGAGGTATAGGTGGATGTGCCGTGCCTTCTCACACAACCAAGTTTAGGGACAACTAAATATTAGCATCAGAAAACACAACCAGAACACGGAAAACTGAACTTTTCGGAAGTCCGCTAACAACAAATTCTTCAGCCCGACCGGTAAGGGGCGAAACCGGCGTCTGGTGAGGAGTTGCAAAGGAGGGCTCGGTCGGACCCGGGCGCGGAATCCAGACGCGCGAATCCAGACGCACGGGTTCCAAACGCAGGATTGGACCTGGTGAGCGACCGAGCAACCCACCGGGTGAGGGACTGCGGAGGAGACAGTGGGGAGGCGGTGCAGCATGTTGACTGCGGTTGCCTGATTGCGCGCGAGCGAGGGAGTGGGCGGTTGGACCTGCCTCGGCGGCGATAGAGGGCGCCAAGGCGATAGAGGGCGCCGCCATTTCCCCGCTCTGACCACGCCCCCACATACAGCGTCACAACCCAGCGACCTGGGAGTCCAAGGCGCCGCTTCTCACATTTAAAGGGCCAGAACAGACCAAAAATGTCGCAGGAAGACCTCAAAGCCCCACAGATAAATCTAAGCGACGAAGAAATAGCAAAACTCTCAGACGCACAGTTTAAAACACTGGTCATCAGCTTCCTCACAGGTCTGGTTGATTATAGCCACAAATTAGAGAAACATATGAAGGCTAAATTAAGGGAAATGAATGGAATTCCACAGGAAACCCATAGAGATGAAAAGGAAACTGGGACTCAAATCAATGGAGTGGACCAGAAGAAAGCAAATAATGGCCAAACAGAAAAGAGTCAAGGAGCAAGAATTCAAAGAAATGAGGAGAGTCTTAGGAACCTCCAGGACATCTTTAAATGCTCCAATATCCGAATTATAGGGGTACCAGAAGGGGGAAAGACACAACCACCAGTGGAAAAATTATTTGAACAAATAATAAAAGAAAATTTCCCCAATCTGGCAAAGGAAATAGACTTCCAAGAAATCCAAGAAGCCCAGAGAGTACCAAAAAAGTTGGACTCAAGAAGAAACACACCAAGGCATATCATAATTACATTAGCCAAAATTAAAATGAAGGAGAGAATCCTAGAAGCAGCAAGAGCTAAGGGGACAATCACCTACAAAGGAGTCCCCATCAGACTGTCAGCAGATTTCTCAAAAGAGACCTTACAGGCAAGAAGGGGCTGGAAAGAAATATTCCAAGTCATGAAATCTAAAGACCTACAACCAAGATTGCTCTATCCAGCAAAACTTTCATTTAGAATGGAAGGAGAGATAAGGTGCTTCTCAGATAAGACCAAATTCAAGGAGTTCATCATCACCAAGCCCTTATTATATGAAATGTTAAAGGGACTTATCTAAGAAAAAGAAGTTAAAGAAACATGAACAGTGAAAGAACAACAAGCTCACAGTTATTAACAACCACACCTAAAACGAAAGCAAACTAAAAGAACAGCTAGATCAGGAGTGGAAATATAGAAATAAAGATCTCAAGGAGGGTTAGCAACAGGGGAGTGGGAGGAGGAGATAGGGGGAGAAGGTACAGAAAATAAGTAGCATAGACAGTAGATAGAAATAATGGGGGGGCAAGAATAGCATGGGAAATATAGAACCTAAAGGACTTGAGACACATGGTCATAAACTAAAGGGGGGTAATGGTGGGGATGGGGGGGCAGGGTGGAGGGGAATGAAGGGGGGAATAGAACAACTGTAACAGCATAATCAATTTAAAAAAATAAAATAAAATAAAATAAAATAAAGAAAAAAAAAGAAAATAGTAGGGCTGCTCTGGCCAAATAGTTCAGTTGTTTGGAGCATCATCTCGATGCACTGAGATTGCAGGTTTGATCCCCAGGCAGAGCACATACAAGAATCAACCAATAAATGTATCAATAACTGAAATAACAGCTTTGGCTGGTGTAGCTCAGTGAATTGAGCACAGGCCTGTGAACCAAACAACCATGGTTTGATTCTGAATCAGGGCGCATGGCTGGGCTGTAAGCCAGTTCCCAGCAGGGGGATGCACGAGAGGCAACCATATTGATATTTCTCTCCCTCCCTCTGTCCCTTCTCCTCTAAAGATAAATAAATAAAATCTTTAAAAAATAACTGAAATGACAAATCAATATTCTCTCTCCCTCTCCTTTTCTCTCTAAAATCAATATTTTTTTATAGTTGAAGAAAATAGCAGGGCTTTATTGTTGATACTGAAAAGGTATACTGTTTATACTGAATATATTGAAGAATATTGTGAGAAGAGTTTATAAGGTTCATATGAATCTTTTAAATTAAATTATTTATTTATTTATTTACCTTCAACAGTATTAATTTTCTATTAAAACTGCATTGAAAATTTAGGGTTTTCTGTGGTCCCAAATTAATTTAAAGATTATTTTTTTGGTTATAAAAAATATGAGCCTTTATTTTTTATTATATTTTTTCCTTGGGATCCTTTTATTTCTTTTCTTCCTTTTCTTTTT